CAGCAACCCGGCCCACATCTCAAAAAGGTTGCCTACCCCTGCCCTAAATTTTCCTGGATAAGAACCATGCTCTGATAGTCTCCAGGTGTTTCACTGTGGTATGTTGTTTTAAGGGCTTCCCTTAAAGACAGCATCTTTAGTCTCTACAATGTGGCTTCTTACTTAACAGGTGTGTTTGTTGTTAAATGGGATCACAAAACACAAATATTTATCTGGGCATTTTGCTTGGTTAATCTGTCCTTTTACATGTTACTGACTTTTAAATAGCTTTACAATTACATTCTTTTTTTTTTTTTTTTTTTTGTATCTTACTGGATCTTGGATCTTGCTCTGAGGCCTACTGTGGCTTAAGAGTTTTGAAATAACAATGTTTCACACATTCAGAGCCATGGCTTCATTTCTATCGGGCCACTGTTCTTATTCTCCCAGCAAGGGCTTTATTTTGCCATTATCCAACAAAAGCAAAATGTTCTTGACAGTCCATTGCTTTGAATGTTGGCCCAGATATTATTATGTAGTTGAGGTTATAACTGTATTTATTATGGCCAGAACTTCCAGTTGGCTTGTTACTGTACACGATAATGGGCAGCACATGGATATAGTATGAGCAGATGTCTTTATCTCCATTCATCTTGTTCTTTGTTGCATATTAATTTATTTTATGTATTTTAAAATAGGATTGCAAGCCTCTCTGGGGACACTTGTACTGGGAATATAGGATATAAATATTGATTTAAAGCACAGTCTTATATGATATAATTCCTATTGATAGAGTTTGCTTTCTGGTTAAGTAGATGTAGGATTGCACTCTCAACAAGGTAAACAAATATAATATATGCAAATACCAAAGAATACTTCTTGTTAATGATTATTCATTTTGTCTTCATTAATTTTCTTTTTTAAAACAGGCTAAAGAATCTTCTGAAAAATCATCTAGAGCTAAAATGTGCTTTACCTCATTGTTCAGCTCAGTTGAAGGTATAACAGTGTATCATTTCACTTCTATATTAATATAATTTAATTTAAAAAAGCAGGTTTATTTTTGTTTTTACTCAGAATATGTTTCTCATAGGTCACAACTCTTGTGTTGGTTTACAGTAGAGCTGCATAATTGAAGGTATAAATGATCTTATAAAATGAATTCTTCAGAGCTTCTTTAGTATTATCATATCCTGGCAAAAATGAAACTTTCTGGACACAAGGTAGGGGAGGCAGTCAAGTGTGTGGACTTGGGTGGGATTGAGTTTAGTAGTGAGAGGTGCCTCAGAATGCAGTCCTATGTTCATTAACTTGAGAGTTCCTCCAATTAATAAAATTGCTCTTGCTTCCAAGTAAGCATTCCTAGGTTTGTGCTATCAGTTCCTCATTTTTTTTAAAAAAAATATTTAAAGTATTTATACCCCACACTCAGCCAAAAAAGTTCCCAGAGTGACATACAAGACAGTGAATGTGACAGTTCCTTGCCCTTCAGCCTTACCATCAAATAAGACATGATAGACAAAGAAAAGGGGATGGCAACTTGAGAGAGGATTACGTTCAGGAGATGCTGGTTTCTTTTCTTCTCCCTTAGAGGGCAGAGCAATGGCATTTGGAATCTGGAGGAAGGGTCTGTCTCTAGCCACTGAGACCCAAGCGCAGTGGAGGTTACTTTGTGCAGGAACACTACTTTTTCAGAGGAAAGAAAGTGGGAAATGACTGCATGTCTGAATTCTTTACTAATGTAGCTCTTCTTAAATACATAGTATTTAATGTTGATATAACCCACTGTTCACTAATAGTTAGGCATAAAGATGCAGAATTTGTGGAAATTGTGAAGTCAGGGAGCCCGCCTTTTTGTACAGGAAATGGAAATTTTTGGGAAGATTGCAGGGGCGATGTAATATTAAGCCCCCTGTTAAAGATTTGGAGTTAATTCAATACTTTAGGAACGCAAAATTGATTATGTATAACTTTGGCATAAAATTGTTATGTTTCATGTATTCTAACTAGGTACTTTTAACATAATTATAAATTGAACTTTAAAAAATTGCTACAATTTTTTTTTTTTTGCTACAAATGGAGCTACTAAGTTTTGTACTCTAAGGAACATCTTAATTATAAGGATCCTCTCTGGTTTTGCCAGGTTGGGGAACAGAGAAAACAAAACAAACAACAACAACAACAACAAGAGCAAAACTTTAGTAGTAAAACAAAAAATTAGTTTGCTTCCATTGGTTGTCCACAATACAAAGCAGACATAACACACTTATTTTCATAAAATGAACTGGAAAAGGAAACCAAGACCAGCAGTTGTAATGATCTGATGCTATTCATAGCCTTCCAGAAACATCTTCCTCTCACATATTTTCAGAAAAGATTTTGGAACAGTTAATATGTGATCACCTAGATTTAAACATTATATTCATAATTCTAAAAGAAAATATCCATAATCTTATTTTTTCCATTTTTCTAGGGAAAAAGTGATTTTTTTCTAGCTCTTTACATCTCTAGTTTTAGAGATGTAAACAATTATGGCCCAGTTAGTCTGACATCAATACCAGGAAAGATTCCAGAGCAGATCATTATACAGAGAGTCTGTGAATATTTAGAAGGGAATGCTATAATCCTAACAAGGCAATATGGGTTTCTGAGAAACAAATCATGCCAGACTAATCAGATCTCCTCTTTTGATAAAATTACCAGTAGATGAAGGGAATTCTGTGGATATAGCATATCTTAATTTCAGTAAAGCCTTTGACAAGGTCCCCACGATATTCTTACAAACAAGCTAGTAAAATGCAGTTGGGCTAGACAATGCAGCTGTTAGGTGGACTTGTAATAAAAGTGCAGTTGGCTGAACCCAAAGGGTGCTCAGCAATGATTCCTCTTCATCTTGGAGAGAAGTGCCCAGTGGTTCTGTCCTCTTCATCTTGGAGAGAAGTGCCACAGGGTTCTGTCCTTGGCCCAGTGCTGTTCAACATCTTTATCAATGACTTGG